TACTACATGTGTGAATAGGCTGAAAATTTTAATAAGGTTGACTGGATCTTTGCAGGAGTGACCAAGAATAAGCTTTCTTGAGATTGTCTTTGATCAAAAAGTGGGAGAGATTTTAGGAGTGATGTTGTGTTTCAGCAGAGATGTTGCCCAGCCTTCAGGGTTATCAGAGTCTATTCCTGTGCACTTGTGTGTGAGCTACTTTGTACCTTTTAAAAACTGTATGTGACTGGTGGATATGCAAATCCCCATGTGTTCTCTTTCATTTCAGCAAGAAAAGTCTAAATTTCATTAGATGCCCTGTCTTTAATCTTTCATAGGTTGTTGAGTATTGTCTAGGTCCAGGTTTGATGGTATTCGTGCATTCCAGGGTAGGGTCATGTGGATTAGAAAAAATAGGTAGGAGGAGCAGAGTTACAACAGAAAAATTGAGATATAGGACAAAACCTGGAGGACTATTCAGTGAGTACTGAATACTGAATACACTCACATTTATTTTCCATATACTTATTTACTCCAATCCAAAAAGGAGGGAAGAAGGCAACAGACTGGTTTAACATGACACAAAGGACCAACAGAACTTGCTTTAATACTTGAGACACCAAGGCACTATTTCCTGAGCTAAGCATTCTGATATTTTAGGCAGGACATGCAGCAACTACAGTTTAGAGCAAATACCCTGTAACATGAGGGCCGGCTTGTTGGGGTTTCTGTCCCGCCTAGTACCCCAACAAGCCAGCAAGTCCCAAGGAAAATCACACGGAGTCTACATTAGGTTATAAACTGATTGGACCATTAGGTCAGGCTTTTTGTTAACTCTTATAACATATATTACCCCATTATCCTTATCTATGTTAGCCACATGGGCTCAGTACCTTTCTCAGTGTGACAGCTTACATGTTGCCTCTTCGGTGGTCTGCGCAGGAATGGCAGAGGAACCTCCCTGCTTCCCAGAATTCTCCTGCTCTCATTGCATCACCTCTACTTCCTGTCTGGCTTTCCCGCCTATACTACTTGCCTGGCCAATCAGCATTTTATTAAAATATGATTGACAGAATACAGACAATTCTCCCGCATCAATACCCTGAAGGCAGCCACTCCCTGGGTCAAACCTCCTGTCTTAATTTTGAAAGAGCAAGAGTAGGCTTAAACTCTCTGACCTTCAGTCAAGGTGGGGTGGACCCACTTCTGTGGGACCCCACAGAGTATTACTAGATTATCCATTTTTCTAGTTTCCTTATATATCTATCTACGGAATAGGGACCTATAAACTAAAGTTTTATTTCACTTCTGTTAATTTTCTAAGAGCTATGTGTAGGTTTTCCAGACTCTTACAAGTTGCCTGCTGGCTAGTCTTTCCCCTGAGGGTTTGGTGTATCACGGAATGTTCAAAGCTCAGGACTTATTGTAAGCCTCAAGGCTGTACCATCTCATTGGCTTACTCTTCAACTGCTCTAAGCATGGATAGATTACTGTTGGGACCACTAAGAAAGTCTAATGCAATTTTCAGGTTACGTGTCCTCACGAACACAGTGGATTCAATGATCAACACAATTGACACAGCAGCTTCAAAGCTCTGTGTGCAATTGGATAAGATATGCAAGGTATTATGGTTTGGGTATGTTTTGAGTTGATGCAGCAAAGTTTCACATGCTGATGACCTAGTCCCTACTGTGGTAGGGTGAGAAGATAGAACCTTAAAGATGTATGTGTTCATGGAAAGGACATAGATCTTGGGTACCACCTTCAGAAGGAATGAAGGCAAATCTTGATGGGCACAGTAGCTCTTGAGAAGATTGTTATAAAGTCAGTTTTGTTGTATCGGCCTTTTCGTCTTGTTTCCTGTATCACCCTGTGCTCTCCTTTTCTCTGTAACATGTAATGCCACTCTGATGCCATCCATCATTTATGATGTAGCCAGAAGCCCATTACAAAAGTCAAACAGATGGCAGGTTCATGTTCTTGGACCGCCAAGACTATAAACTTGGCATTTTCTATCTTAGCAAGCATCAGCTATTTCGTTGTAGTGTCAGAAAATGAACTAAGAGACAGATAATGGACAGTCCACGTATAACTCTAACCACAAAGTCTTGTAATAACTAATTTAAAGGCACATCTAGAAGCTTCTCAAATTGGCTTCCAAATCCATCATAACATAGTTAATTATTGCCAGACTCCACAATTTTTGCTACATTTCCAGTTTTAGGGCCAAAAATGCATTCCTATTTAACTATATTCAATATTTATGTTCTAGTTTCCTTTCTGTTGCTGTGATAAATACTCTGACTCAAAGAAAGAATTTATTTGATTTATGCTTTGAAGCTATAGTCTATCATCCAGGAAAATCAGGGCAAGAACTCAAAGGCAGAAACCATAGAGAAGTACTGCTTTCTGGCTTGTCCCGTTGCTTATTCATGCCTGGCTTTCTTATCCAATACAGCCCAGGACCACCTTCCAATTGACTGGACCCTTCTACATCAATGAATAATCAGTACAATCTCCAAATGCTACATTGTCACAGACAAATCTGATCTAGATAATTCCCCAATATAGTTTTTCTTTCAGGTGACTATAGTCTTACTGCTTCTAGTTGACTTGCCTCTGACTTTCCCCCACTAACAGTCTTAGTTTGGGCATATGTGTAAGCCTTTCTTTCACTACAGAGTTCTCTATACTTTCTATACCGGAGTCTCTGACAGACTCATACAATGTACGCTGGGTAAATCTTTTATCAACCACTGTATAGCATTTGTTCATAGTTTAATGATCTTTGTTTATTTACAGTTTTCTTGGAGATTCTACCAAGATTTGGTTTGTACTGTGCATCTTCCCTCTTCCATGATGGTTCAAACTATATAAGCTTATCCTAGGTTCCGGATCAAAGTGACCACGAAGTTTGTCTGGATACTATTGGCAATGAATGGCCCCTTTTCTGTGATATCAACCTCTCTCTTAGATTGATCAAGAGAGATTTTTGATTTTGAGGGAGAAAACTCAGCAGGTTTTCCATATTTTGAATAAGGCTTTTCAGCATGCTTCACCTTTAGGAATTCTTAGTTATCAAAAGCTGGTTCATTAATTTGTGTGTGAGTGGTGTGGACATTCACTTAGTGAAGGTCTCTGGCATGCCTGAGCATGGTAAACATAGCTCTGGCAGTCCTTACCCTTTCCTCTTTCCCTCTGCTTTGCTGCAGATATTGTTTTCCTCGAGGGACAAAGGATTGCCTTTGGATAGAGAGGAGACAGATATGACCTATAGACAAATATCAATTTACAAAGGGAAAAGGGAAAATCCTATGTTAGGGTGAGTTGTTTTTTTTTTTTTTTTTTTTTTTTTTTTGATTTGGCATGTTAATTGGGGTAGCCACAAGGGGGCTTTTTACCTCTGGACTTGCTTTGTTCCTTTCCCCAGACACAGAAAAAAAAAAATAAGTGAAACTTCAGACCTTAGTACTTCTATGGAACAGATTTTAGGCTCTCTGCCTGGTCTTCTAGTTCCAGACACTAACTGCCTGAGTGCATATAGTAAAATTTATCCAAGACATTAAAATCTTCTCTCACACACTGTTCTCTCACAGACCTGTTCACCCCTGCTATCCACTGAAAACCCTTGCTCTCCCGAAATACTGGCGCCAGTGTGACTCTCTTGCTTCAATTAGGAACTTGATGTGCCTCGCCTCACTCACATGTACTAGAAATCTCATTGAGAAGCATCCCCTAACATTGTGTTGGTGGATCTGATTTCAAAACCGACACCGGAGGTTATGAGGCAGGATCTATTTATTACCTATCATTTAAAACAGGACTGTAGCACATGGCCCTTTATTTGCAGTAAAACTGGTCCAGATGGCAGAATTACTGCACTGAGTTTGTCAACTAGCCAGACACTAGAGAATATGCGTCTATAAAGAGCAGATATAGTTTTGGGGTGGCTTACAACCTTCATGTGCTTCTATGGTGAGAGGATTTCTTAGCTCGCTAAAAAGAAGAGGTGTGGACTTGGGAAACTTTAGATGCGTTCCTATTATCTTGAAGGATGTCTGTTATAAAGGTTGAGACTCTCCTACAATAAGGGTGATAAGCTAACTTAAATAAAGCTGGAACAGGGCATTAAGCCAAACAAGCTGCTGCAATGAAGGTCATGATACAACCTCACATCTCAAAGGGTAAAGCCTGGTGACACTGAACCTGAAGAAGAGCCCTCCTGTTTTATGTTTTGGCTACACAGTCTCTGGTCCTCTCGAGATAGCTTCTTGTGATTCCAGATAATGTCAAATGAATATTAATAAAAATTGTCCATAATGTTACCCATGGAGTGGATTGCCACAGATACAGCAATTGCAACATGATAACTGGCTATTTTCAGGACATGTGTCACCTGCCAGCAACATAATTCGGTAAGAACTATAAAGATATGACATGCCTGAGACCCAAATTCTCAGTGACACTTTGAAAGTCATCAGAAGGATTTTATGTAGGTTCCAACATCCAAGTGATTTGAAAATGTATTATTGGATTTGTGTTCTCAGGACCTGGTACATTATTTTGTTTTTGAGAAACTACAGAAATTATAATTAAAGATAGTTGATTTCATTTCTGCATTTGGATACCTTATATTTTGTAACATGTGATGGAAATTCACTTAATAGGAACACTTAGGGAAGACTTCTGTAAAATATTACTACTTACACAGAAAATAATATTATATCACCCACATTATTCCAGAGAGACTAATGATATCCTTACACGACGGCAGCAAAATTTCCAAAACCAATGGGTTCAATATGCCAAAAGAGCTCTGAGTAGTTCTCCTGTTTTGCAGTCTACATACCCAAGCATGCACTGGTATGCACTGTGAAGCAGATACTGGAAGCCTAACCTTTAAAAAAATGTTATTTGGGAATTTCATATATGTATACAATGTGTTTTGAACAAATCTGTTACGACTCCCTCCCATCCAACTTCTGCCATACTTCTGCAACTTTTCCTTCCCTTTGCAACAGATGGAACCTACTGCAGAAAAACCACTCGTTCAAAATGCAGCATGGTGGAGCTGAGTCCTAATGGATACATCTAAAAAAGTCTTGTACCAAACCTCAGGAAATATTGCAGAAAAGAGGAGGTGCAGAAGTAAGTGCCAGAGGACCAGAGAGCTTGCTGTGAGACTGTGGCATCTAGTAATGCCAGAAGCTCTAGACTATTCCCTATAGACCACTACCAGCATAATCACCTAAACATGAGCTGTACAGGGCGACACTAATAAACATCCTGAAGTTAGTAGGGGAAAGCCAATGAAGCCTCAACCCTATGCAAAGAACAGAGGGCCACTGGACCACAGGTAGCCTTGTCGGCCTGACATTTACCTCTTCCACTACCCTGTCTTATTGCATAGCGTTATGACAAAACATTGCAAAATGTTCATGTACTACATGTGCTCATACCACTGTGCCTGAAGTCTTCCTTTTTATAGTGTTTCTCTAAAGTCTCTTTTCATGATCTTCAACAAGAATATTTCATCTACTGAAAGATACTTGAGAACAGCTGTTCTTGATTTCCCTGGAAGAGATAGTACTAGGTACTGTTAGTAACAAATCCAGTAGCAAAATTCCAGTGAGTCCATGCTTGGGTTCTTCAGAATTCTATCCAATTGGAGGAGTACTGTAATTGGGACCTTCTAATAGAGGACCATTCAGCCAGCAGATATAGCTGATTTTTAATGTAAATGCTGCCCCAAGACTTTGGAAACAACTCATAACTTTGGAATGTGAGCAGCTTTTGCCAAAAATATTCTACTAAGATCCCCATATTTAATTTTCTCTTTAAAAAATTTACTTGCTAATAATCAATCTTTTAAATTTTCTATAGGTGTCTGGTCAGTTCTAGACTCATTAAAAAAGATGATAGGAATTATAGTGTATTCTGTTTACACTGCAAAGTGACCTTGAATAAATCATCTTATGACTTAAGTAGTTGTTGATTTTTCCTGGAAGAAGAATCAATTATCTTGATATGTTGATCAGGAACTGTGTAATTTAAAATTTTAATTTAATAGCATTTAGAGCAACAGGCTATATATTTGCCATCTGGAAAATATTAATAAAGACACAAATATGTTATTTACCTAGGAAGTAAAATTCTATAGCAATGCTAATTAATATCTGTGGGTTTCATCTACCAACCTCTTGGAATTCCCTAGGCTTGTGGTTACCAAGGCAAAACTTCCACCTACTGATTTCAACTATTTTTTTTACTTTACTATTCATTTTTCATTTCAGCATTCTTTTGAAGACATCTATAACTATTCAGTATTCTAAGAGAAGAATAAGGAAAAGAAGAAGAGAAAGGAGGAGGAGGAGGAGGAGGAGAAGGAGAAGGAGAAGAAAAAGAAGAAGAAGAAGAAGAAGAAGAAGAAGAAGAAGAAGAAGAAGAAGAAGAAGAAGAAGAAGAAGAA